TAATGTTAATCTTCATGAAGTTTTATCCTTTAATGTTTAATCAAGATTAATGTTAAGGGAGTTCATTGTTCAGGAATTATAGATTAGTTCTCATTAAGTAAAATGAAGTTTAATGTTCATGGAGGAAATTCTTTAGACTAATATTGAGGAAGTTTTATTTTTTGTTTAATGAAGTTTTCTTCTTTAATGTTTAATGAAGATTAATGCTAAGAGAGTTAACTGTTCAAGAATTGTATATTAATTCTCATTAAATAAAATGAAAGAAATTATTTAAATTAATCTTCATGAAGTTTTATTGTAGAAATGAGCGAACACTCAACTTTCACTTTGCAATCACCAAGTAATCTGAGGTTTGAGACAGAGTTTTGTGATTTTCGAAGAAGTGTGTCATTAGGGTTTTGGAGATGGCTTTGAACCCACAAAAGCTGTTTTATACATGCCCTCGCAAAGTTGTAAGTCTTATGGTAAAGTCACTTTGTTTGCAACAAGGCCATTGTTCCTAGTTGTCTTTAAAAAAAGGCATTTCATGTCATGCAAGTAAAACAACCAAAATGTCAAATTTGATAAGATGTTAATTGGGATCATGCGCCTCTTGAAAGTTGTTCTTTTAGGCTTCATTCTAATGTTTATGTTTAGGAAATAGGGTATCATAAGAGAAGAGAGGAAGCAATGGGTTTTTTGCATGTTTACATTTTGGGGAGGGTTAATCACTATACATCATTGGTGTTAGGGTGTTAGTGTATACCCTTTGAAAATCTGGACTTATGACTTCTAACTTGTGGATAGAACTTAAGACTTTTTTTTTAGTTATGATGGCAAGTAAGTTACTATATCTGTTGTGTATTTTATAGCATAATGTGCAGATAAGTTATCTCTTGCCAACTTGTACTAATTAGATTAGAACCCAACAGTGGCTAACTAGTATCAATATATAGTCACTTTAAATTGGCATATCTACTTTAGGGTCACTTTAAATTTTAGCACTTAACCATTGCGTACAAAAAATTTTCAACAACCTGACCTTATGTGTTTTTATGCCAGATTGGGTGATATTCCAACCTATATTGTATGTTCATGAAAATAAACAAAAAAAAGGTCCAATTGACCCATAAGTTATTTCACCATTCAATCATTCCAGCCCAATGAATATCAATGGCTACAACTTCATCCAAACTCAATGACCCTTGTCCAAATTCTGATGAACTCTATAGGATGCTTCCTGCACCATTGGAGAAAAACTAATGTCAGGGATGCATATAACTCACCATATAAATCCAACAAACATGATGTACCAATAAATCAGTACATCACCTCTAAGGAAGATACTAAAGTATAAAACAAATCAAAGGAAATGAATGATAACGGGTTTGAATAACCTCCCTATTTAAGAAACTTCAAAAAAAAAATGCATATGCAACATGAGATCCTAGAAACATTAAATGGAAAAAAAAATCCAACAAGAATGTGCCCAGACTGTAACCATGTGATTGATAACAATGATGTATGGTCATTAATTTCCATGGGTTTTCTAATAATTAACATATGCCTTCTTCTATGTGGACAACAAGACTTTAGTTAGTGATCTCGGTGGTTATTTTTTGAATGGTTCCACCACATTTGCTAGGGAAGATAGCCTAGAGGTTAGCAAAGGTTATTTACTGTTAAGCATATACTTATTTACTGCTATTTTTTGTTAAATTATAGCCAAAACTGATTATTTATTATTAAACATCAAGTTGAAGTTTATAACTAATTCAGCCTATAGTTTAGCAAAGTTTATAACTAATTCAACTTAAATTCCAAAAACATGATTTATCCAACAAGAAAACTTTATACAAGAAATGAAGATTCAAATATCTAATTATTTACTATTAAACATTTGTTTATTTACTGTTATTTTCCGTTAAATTATATTCAAAACTTTGATTATTTACTATTAAACATCAAAGCCACAAGAAAAACTTTATATTATAAAACAAAGATTCAAACCTTTGAGTAATCAAAGCCACAAAAAAAACTTTATATTGTAAAACAAAGATTTAAGCCTTTGAGTAATCAAAGCCACAAGAAAAGTTTATATTGTAAAACAAAGATTCAAACCTTTGAGTAATCAAAGCCACAAGAAAGCAATTTAGGAATAAACTTTTTATAACTAATTGAGCTTAAATTCCAATAACATGATTAATCCAACAAAAAGCAAAGATTCAAACCTCTAATTATTTACTGTTAAACATCTGATTATTTATTGTTATTTACTAGTAAGAAAAAGTATAAACCAACTACAGTAGTCAAGGTGATTAGTGAAATTGCAACAATCATGACATATAGGACAATGTTTCAATTTAGATCATCACAAATAGTAATCATAGTTTTGGGACAATCAAAATATAACATCTCCAATAGAGCAGATATCTGGAGCTGCAAATAATGTTTTGTGTTTGAAGCCTATAGAGATTCCCTAATAGAGAATAATAGTTCAATAACTTTTGTTTAGGTCAGCCTCCTCATCTTCTGAAGTGCAAATACAAAAATAAAGAACACGGCTCCTCAACTGTATTACACCTTATCAACCTAATCTGGTTTTAAGGGTTGTATTTATTTGTGAGAACATTTACTTGATAAAGAACTTGATGTTTTGGAGCTTGATGTGTTGGAACCTACTGTTGTGCCACTCCTCTGGCTATATTTCTACATCTACCCRTAGCAATATCTCCATCATGAGACACATGGAGATTAACTTGACTTAATTGGGATTCCAATAACAATGTAGAACTCCCACTACTAGCTTGCATTTTCATGCTTGTTTGACCCTCATGTACACAAAACAACAATGTTATCAACTTTGCGTTATTTATCAATCCTTTGAAGAGAGCTACAAATGTTATGAATTATTTGAGGTAGTGGTCCTTCATTGCTTCTTCCCTGACTTTACACTTTCTATTGTGCTTTCCAACACCACGATTTGTACATTTCATCTTCTTGAACCTTCTTGACACGTAAATCCCCAAACTTACTTCCTTTGGCCCCTTCCTTCTAGTTTTCTTTGGCCTACTAGGTTGTTTTCTAAATGGTGGTGGTTTGATTGGAACACCTTAGTCCTTGGCCACTAGGATTCATCATGTACTGATAAAACATAATGACTATATGCCTTAAGACACCTCTCATTACTATATAGTGGATCCACATAGTCATAAATACTACCATGTTGTGACTGAATGCATGAAATGGCACGACAACAAAGCAACCTTGTTAGTGCCCAGGCCCTACAATTACATGTCATGGACTGTAGGTTCACCACCATTCTTCTCTTGAAATACTTAACCTCAAAATTTCCATTCCTCGCTAGACCTGTTCATGGGCTGGGCCCCCGGACGGGCTTGAACACGCAAATGAGCCAGCGGGCTTAACCTCAGGCCAAAAAGCCTGACCCGCAATAAATTCAAGCCGGGCTCGGGATTTGCCAAAATAGCTCGGCCCGAGCCCGGTTCGGCTCGACCTATAGACTAAACCTAAAAAACCCTAATATCCTAAAATGTAAGAACCCTTCTCTTTCACTTCTTTCCCCTTAGCCGAACCTCTCTTCTCTTCACATCCTCCTTAGTCCTCACACTCTCAGGCAACCACACAACCGGCGAGGTGGCGAACATTCACCGGTGCAACAACTCCAACGGTGAGTCCTCTCCTTCTCCCTCCCTCCCCYCTCTCTCTCTCTCTCTCTCTCTCTTTCTTTCTCTCTTTAATTCCTCTTCTCACTTCTTCTCTTTCAAATCTCAAAGACCGGCGAGGTGGCGAATACAGGCATCGACGGCGGCGGCGAGTCTCCTCTCTCTCTCTCTCTCTCAAACGCGAATTGACACACTTTTCATTGTTAAAATCGCATCTCACCGTGAACTCAGCTCCGACGAACACAATCACCAGTAGTGAGTCCTCTTTGCCATTTTATTGTATTACGAAATTATTATTTAGTGTTTAGTGTTTACTATTTACATAGCCAGATGCTATTGTTTGTCCTAAATCTAAATGCTATTGTTTGTCCAAAATCTGAATGCTATTGTTTGGCTGAATGCTATTAGAGATTTGTTAGAGAATGATAAAAACAACCTAATGCATTAGGGATTCACTACACATATTTATTGGCTTAGTTTGTCTTTTAAAAGTGTTGAAACTGTTAGATTTGATTATCCTAATTCTTAAAGCAAAAACATTGTATTTGGCTTTGGTAATGTTGCAAATCTGCAATTGGTTTTCCTTTTTTTTTTTGCAAATTCAAAATTTATATTGAGTTTATATTCTTCTTTTAATATAAACAAATTCTGATTTATATTGAATTCAAAATTTATATTAAATTTATATTCTTTTTTTAATGTAAATAAATTCTGATTTACATTGATTATTGAATTCAAAATTTTTATTGAATAATCTGCAATTGGTTTTCCTTTTTTTTTGCAAATTCAAAATTTATATTCTTTTTTAATGTAAATAAATTTTGATTTATATTGATTATTGAATTTAGAATTTATACTGAATTTATATTCTTTTTTAATGTAAATAAATTTTGATTTATATTGATTATTGAATTCAGAATTTATATTGAATAATATACAATTGGTTTTCCTTTTTATGTTTTTTTGCAAATTCAGAATTTATATTGAATTTATATTATTTTTTTAATGTAAATAAATTCTGATTTATATTGATTATTGAATTCATAATTTATATTGAATAATCTGCAATTGGTTTTCCTTTTTATTTTTTTTTTGCAAATTCAGAATTTATATTCTTTTTTTAATGTAAATAAATTCTGATTTATATTGAATTCAGATATGTTGTTGACTTGGTCCCATCTATTTCTTCGTAGATAAAATTGACTCTATTATTGTTTAAGTTTTTTTGATAAATTATTTTTCTTTTAGTTTTTTATTGAATATATGCTTGTCTGATTGATAAAATTAGAATTCATTATGCAGGTTATTTCATACTTAATAATTACTATCATGTCAATGGCAAGTGAAAGTACGGCTGCAAGAGTAGATATAGTTGATGATGACTATCAAGAGTTTGACCATACTTCTACTAAGAAAAGATTGACATCTAAGGTGTGGGAAGAAATGGAAAAGATTAATTCGGAGAAGGCACGATGTAAACACTGCAAGAAAATCTTACAAGGTAAGTCAAGTAAGGGAACTACTCACTTGAAGCATCATTTAGAGCATTTCCTTAGACGTGCAATTTAGGATATTAGACAGTACAAAGTAACAACTCAATCAAACACTGATGGGAGTATTTTAAAAACTACAAGTTTGATCAACAAGAGTTTTGTAGAGCATTATCAGTTTTCTAGTATGTGGAAAACACCCTTTTACTACTGTTGAAGAACCTGGTTTTAGATTCTTTATTCAATCTATAAATCCTAAATTTAAAAATGTGAGTAGGCGTATTGGTAAAAGAAATATCATGTCTAGTTATGTGAAATAGAGAGAGGGTGTGAAAAGTGATTTGTCTAATACAGTTGGTCGGATTTATTTAATTTCTGCTAATTTGAGATCTGAGCACATTGATGATGAATTCATGTGTATAACTGCTCATTGGATTGACAACAATTGGAAGTTACAAAAAAGGAATTAATCGCTTTAAAGATTTGACACCTCCTTTTGATGGACTATTTTTAGTAGAATAGGTGGCCATGTGCTTAAGCGAATGGAATATTGATTAGAAAATTTTTAGCATCACATTAGATAACGCTAGTTACAATGATGTGATGGATAACTCTTTGAAATTGAGATATTCAATATATAAATCTTTGGTGTGTGGTGGTGATTTTTTCAAAGTTCGTTGTTGTAGCCATATTTTGAATCTTATTGTGCAAGCTGGTTTGAACATTGTTGATGATATTGTTTCTAAGATTCATGATGGTGTGAAAAATATAAAGAAATCTGTTGCCCGAAAGCATAGATTTTATGATTTTGCTGAAAAAAGTTTTCACTTAAACACAACTAGAAGATTGATGTTAGATATGTGTGTGAGATGGAATTCAATTTATTTGATGCTTGAACATGCCATTTATTATAAGCAAGTCTTACAACATTGGGGGCAAAGGGATATTTTTTTCAAAATGTTTATGCTTTCGGAAGAAGAATGGGGAAAGGTGGATAAACTTCACAAATTCTTAAAGGTTTTTTATGATGTTATTTGCATGTTTTCTACCACTAAGTACCATACTTCAAACAATTACTTCAAGGGAGTGTGGATGATTCACAGACATTTAATGTTAGTGAGTAAGGAATCTCAGAATTTTATGACTGACATGGTTAGAAATATGAAGGAGAAATTTGATAAATATTGGGATGAATATAGTATGATTTTGTCTTGTGCTGCTGTGTTGGATCCTCGTTGCAAGATTAGGTTAGTGGAGTATTGTTTTGATAAACTTTATGGGAATGAAGCTGAGGAGCATGTTAATGCTATAATTAAAACTCTTCATGATTTGTTTGATGAATACAAAGAAAATTTTTCCTACACCTCCTTTATTGGATCTTGTAGTCAGTTTGACATGAGTGAGAGAAATGGTGATGGTGATGGGCTTGAGGAATATGAGCAATTTTTGAATTCAAAAAGAAAGATTCAAAGTGAAAAAACTCTGTTGGACATTTACTTGGAGAAACAAAACCTTGATATCAAGGCAGATGTTGATGTTTTGGAGTATTGGAGTAAGAGTTCACTTAGGTATCTTGAATTGGCATCAATGGCTCGAGATATTTTGGTTATTCCTATTTCCACAGTTGCATCTGAATCTACATTTAGCATTGGGAAGAAGGTGATCAATCTTTGGAGAAGTTCACTTAAATTCAAGACAATTCAAGCTTTGGTTTGTCTTGAAGATTGGCTCTGTGCACGAAGCTTTGTATTAGGTAATTTTTTATTTATTGTTTATTAAAATATATGATTCATTGAATTTTTTCTAATAGATTTTCCAATTGTATGCAATGGGATCAAGCTTGTTAGGGGCTTCTTCAAAATTAAGCTTGTTAGAAGAGGATGAAGGATCAAATAGTAGTGATGATGATRATGAAAATGTTGAACTTGATGATATGTTTTAGGTATTATAATAGCATATATTTTCGTTATTTATTTGTCATTTGACATGATAACTAATTACATATGTGATATGGATACTGAATTTATCTTTTATTTTCTTTTGTAGAATGGCTTAGAACTTGGAAGTTGGAATGTTCAATCTTGTTAGTGAATTCAAGAATGAATGGAGATGGCTAAAACATGTTTTGTTCGATATGGGCAATGAAGTGGTCTTTTATTTTATTTTTTAGAATGGTTTGGAACTTGAGAGTTGGAATATTCCATATTGTTGGTGAATTCAAGAATGGATGGAGAACATGTTTTATGGGTTTTGTTTATCTTATTTAGATTTCTTTTTATGATTTTGGAGGAACATGAACTTGAAGTTATATTAATTTAGTTTTAGTGTATCAAGCTATTTGTAGGAATATGAAACTATATGATTTGGTTTTGTGTGTTTTATTTTCTGGTTTTCCTTGTTTCATATGTTTTATTTCAGGTTTGCCTTGGTTGTATAGAAACAACCAAACAACAGGGAATATATTAAACAACCTTAAAGAAGATTGTTGATTCACTTGATTATAAGAAAAACATGGAATTAAAATGGGTTTTTTGTAAGAATTAAAATGGGTTCTTTGTAGGAATTAAAATGGATTATCATATGTTTTATTTTAGGTTTGCCTTAGTTGTATAGAAACAACAGGGAATATATTAAACAACCTCAAAGAAGGTTGTTGATTCACTTGATTGTAAGAAAAAAAGAATGAAATTAAAATGAATTATGTCCATTTGAATAGATTTTTTGATTTAAGAATGTAAAACTATTCTTTAAAATGTAAAAGAAAGGGAAAAAAACCATCTTATAGGCCTGTTGCTCATTTGAATGGGGAAAAAAAACCATCTGAATTAAAATAGATAATGTCCATTTGAATAGGGAAAAATCCCAATCTTTCTATTAGGTTGGCCTTTGAGCTTTTTATCAGGGCCGGGCTTGGGCTCGGGCCTAACAAATTTCTATTTATGAAGAGTAAAAGCCCGGTCCGTGCCCGGCCCGGCCGATGAACAAGTCTATTCCTCACATATACTGAGAAGCAATTTCTAGCATGTGACTATGCATTCTCCAACATCTTCCTAGCATTAGGGCACACTAGCCCCCAATCCCTTCTCAACTTCTTTTGTCTTGTTTGAATCAACTTCATCATCTACCTCTGGATAGTATCAACTAATGTGATTATTGGCTTGTCTCTACAATCCAAAATCCACTTGTTAAATGACTTGGAGAAGTTGTTGCATATATTATCACTTCTAGCTCTAGGTTCAAAAGCAGCTCTGGACCATAGATTAACAGGCACAACACTTAACCACTAGTAGACTTGTTCATGGGTCGGGCTCGGGCTTGGCTTTTGTCAAAATTCTAATGAGACAGTGTAAAATCAGGCCCGAAGCCCGGCCCGTGAACAGGTCTGACCACTAGTAAGCATCATTATTCAGGCCCTTCAACTTACCCATATACCAATGAAATTCTGACATAGTGTATGACATTTTAACCTTCCATAAGCAATCCCTTAGATCCATTCCTTTGAACCTATCCTTGAAGTTGGCATACATGTGTTTGACACAAAACCTATGGTCAACCCTTGGCATTAAACTCTAAAAACACTCCACCAACACCTGAAAGAAATTGTGCATTACACTATTAACATGAGAACAGGTTAATAAATATAAGAAAATTTAAATTTACATGTGTAAATCATTGTACCTTCTGCCTGTCAGAGATGTAGGTCCAACCACATTTGTCTTGAAGTCCAATGCAATCATTCAACAATGTCAGAAACCAAGCCCAAGAATCCTTCACCTTAGTCTCAACAATTGAAAAAACTATTGGGAAAAATTCCATTATTCCTATTCAACCCAACAACATGTAAAAGCTACCCAGAATGAGGTTCTTTTAGATGGCACCCATCAAGCCTAATGATGGGGCGACAACCATCTCCAAACCCATCCTTCATTGTTGCCAAACAAACAAACAATCTCTGAAATTCCCATGTATATCTTTGGCCTATACAATCCTCATGGAACCCAAGTTTGATTACACTTCAAGGATTTGTCTTCAGAACTGCTTCATAATAATCTCACAGCTTGCTATATTATTCAACATGTACACTCTCAATATCGACAAGTGCATGCCTCTTTGCGCATTAGGCTATGAATCTAGAAACTTTAACTCTAAATTGTCATAGTGTCTCATTATGTAGTGAACTACTTTTCCAATCAAGATCATCCCAGAGGTTGTCTTTGTACTTCTCTGCTAACCATGTAGATGTAGCTTTTGTGTTTGAATACACACATTCACAGGTATGTATACTCTTCAATGACTTGATTTGGAAGGCATCCCTACTCTGTAATCAGGATGCATGCACATGCCACTCACACTTTTTTTTTTGCAAATAACTATCACTCTAGTACCCTTATTCTTTTCGCATATTTGAAATCAAACCCACCCATGATTGCATAGTTGACTAAGGCCTTTTGGAAGATTGCAGGACTGGAGAATATCATACCCACAACCAACTGTGGATTCTCCATCCGCCTCTTAGCAAAAGCATCAAATTGAGGTCCTTTCTCGTCATCAGAACCATATAATCTCTCAAACTCCTCCGGTTGCTCATAATCAGACAATATATCTGACCAAACAACTATTTCAACATTGACAACAGGAATCCTGTTGACATCACCATCCTCAACCTCATCCTCAAAACAATCATCAACATCATACTCAGCTTCCAATTCTTCTTCCACCTTACATTCCAATTCAAAATTAGGATCACCCTCTCTATCAGACCCATATTCAAACCCAAAGGCAAAATCAGCACCAAGATCAACTTTATTCACATGATCAGCTAAACCTGATGGTGGAGGTGGTGGCTCAACACTAGATGAACCAACATGTGAAAGACACATCTTTGACAGTAGTGTCTATGACAACCCTACATCAGCCCTCTTACACTCTGTCACATATATGAATGTGTCTACAATCCTCATGGACCCTGCACATCTCTAGTATACTCCTGTCACATTTTAGCCTTACCAACTCATCATCTAGATCTGCATTCGGCCTCCTATGATATACCTCACTAATTGAATTGTAACCAATATCTTTCACCAATAACTATATCTCAATGAATGATAAAAGCCAGCATCAACATTATGGCTAACAAATACATCACCACAAGTGTATATCATTGGTGGTAGGCTCAGAAAGTAACCACTATGATGTTTGTTGATACTGTATAAATTACTTGACATCTGAGTGAAAAACATGTACACAAGCATTAGTGCTAAAATCATAAACAATTTCATGTTGATTTACACTTCAATAAGCTAAGAAATAATTTAGCAAATATAAGCAAATTTCTCCTTCATCATTCATCAAGCAATCTAGTTTTGGAGTTTGTAATTAGACTTGTTTATGAGCCAGGCTTGGATTTTGCCAAAATTTGAATGGGGCCTAACTTGAAGCTCGAGCCCGACATAGTGTAACCCAGGCCTAAAGCCTGGCCAACGAACAGGTCTATTTGTAACACAACAAGAGCTGGAACACATCCCCCTTCTATGTTTTAGTTTCCCCTTTCTTTAGTTATAATCATTTGGGGCTGAAACACTTTCCTCTCCCCCTCTATGTTTTAGTTTCCCTCTTTTTTAGTTCACCCTTAGAGGATAAAACACTTTCCTATCCCCCTCTATGTTTTGGTTTCCCGCTTCTTTAGTTCACCCTTAGAGGATGGAACACTTTCCTCTCCCCCTCTATGTTTTAATTTCCCCCTTCTTTAGTTCAGCCCTTTGGGGCTAAAACTCTTCCCTCTTCCCCTCTATGTTTTGGTTTCCTCCTTCTTTAGTTCACCCCTTAGAGGCTGAAATACTTTCCTCTCCACCATCTATGTTTTGGTTTCCCCTTCTTCAATTCACCCCTTAGGGGTTGAAATACTCCCCCTCCCCCCTATTTTTTGTTTCCCCCTTTGCCAGTTAGCCCACTAGGAGTTGAAACAACCCCCTCTTTTCTATTGTTATTCTTTGGAACACTCATTTGTAAACACATTCATTTTAGCCCCCTCTGGCTCTCATGCTGACATGGACGAGAATACAAGGTTGATGATAAGGTGGATATCTAAAGACCTCTAACCCACCATTGACTCTCAAGTTCCAACAACAAAGAGTTAGTAAATACCCAAAGGTAATAATAAACATTAAACAAGTGGTATACCCAAGGCCACATATCTTTCTCTACTAGTGATTTCACTAAGGTCAAACATATGCCCAAAGTTAACAAACATATACCAAAAGCTACCATTAAAAAATTGTGAACCTAAACATTATTTTATTGAGATCAAACATTGTATAATTGGTCATTATTATACTCACATAAAACAATGTTAATAGCAATCAAATACAGACACTTTAACTGTTAAAACACATCAAATAAATGTTAACAACAATCAAATACAGACACATTAACTGTTAAAACACATTAAATCAAAGACAATAAACAACTATTACAAAGAAACCTAAATACAAACCTCAAGAAGATTATTCCAAGATGAAACACCCACTTCAGACAATATAGTACTAAAAGGGAATATTCACCGGTACAAAAAGACTACAAAGACAATGTTCCATGCACGCATCCATGTAAATAATAGACACAAACAATTCTAGTAGAGGAAAATCGAAGAATCCTATGGTCGGTTCAAAAAGAAACCCTATATTCAAACAAAACAATTTTATTTATCTCCTTTTTGTACTATTATGCAATATGTTACCTTCACTTGACTAGAGACTGCGAAAAAATAAGCTTTCTTCCCCTGTGACGGCGATAAGAGGTATTTTTCTCCGACGACAACGAAAGTAGATCTTATCTGGTGATAGTGACACGGTTTTTCTTCCCCAACAACAACAGTGTGACATGTCACTTCCTTCTTCTACGTTCGATGTGATATTGGTGCGAACTCTGATGGAGATCGGATTCAAAGGAGCTAGGATGGATTACATAAGGGTTTTTAGCTAGAGGTGTAAAATGGGCCGTGACGCCCTCCCTAGGGATAATTTTGGGGGGTCAGCCCGGTACGACCCATGGCCCAAGCCAGTGTTGAGTTATGCTGTGGGCGCTGGGTTGGGCCATAGGTCGGGCCTTGGGCATGGGCCAAATTGGGCCAGATTGTTTTTTTTTTTAAATTTTTTTGACATTTTTCATTTTTTATTTATTTGCTAAGTAAAACTAAAATATTTAACTTTCCTTTGGAAACTATTTGAAAAAATAAGAAATCTAATAATGAAATGAAAAAAATACTTCACTAAATAAGAAGTTAAAGAGACAAAGACTCAAAGTGAATAACAAATTGGAAGAAAAATATGAATTTTATTTCATTTAAATTTGAATGATACAAAGCATACAATGGTTGGATTAATGAAACATGAAAATTGGAAAATGGAAAAAATTAATAAAATATAAAAAATACAATATAGTAACAAATTGAAAATAAAAAATGACATTATTAAAAATATCAAATAAATAAAATAAAATAAAATAAAATTTACAATAGTTTGAAAAAATGATATACAACTATTGAGTATACAAAAAATATTGATTTCATCATTTTCTCCTATTATTCTTGACTTTGAGATACTTGAGCTGTTTTCAATAAAGTTGAGAATTAGTGAATGAGAGAATGTATGAGAAATTAAGAGATTGAGACTTAAGAGAGTATGAGAACTACAGAAGAGATTAAGAGAATTGTTGAATTGGTGTGATGAGAATGGTGGAGGATAGGGCTATTTATAGGACTTGAAAATAATTCAATTGCCCAAAATACCCTAAAAACTAGTCATTTTTTAGTTATTGGGAGGGGTATTTTAGTTATTGTAAAGTTATTTATCACTTTATGCAAAATGCTCCCAACTAGTTGTTATATAGATGTTGGGGGACATTTGTGTCATTCTTTTTCCCCCCAAAACCAAAATACATAAATATCCCCTATATAATTGTTTATAGCTTTTGGGGGTATTTCTATGAAAAAACCCCCAACAACTAATTCATCGGGTGGGCCAAGCACGGCTTGTAACAGGCCGTGTTGGCCTATGGACCTAGAACCCCAGGTAGGGGTGCTCACGGTTCGGTACTGAACCGTGGGGTGATTTTTTGGACTGAACCGATTTGTTCGGTTTTTACATTTAGCCGAACTGAAACTGAACTGATGCAACCTGTTAACCGACTGACCGATTAACCGTGGTTCGGTTTTCCAGTTTTTTTATGACTTCAAAATAAAAAAAAGGAACTGGAGACAAGGAGAGTGGGAATCTGATAGAGTGGGAGAGTGGAAGAAATACAAAGAGATCAGAGAACAGAGAGAGAGCTTAAGGCTTGGGGAAGAACGAAGAAGAAAATTGATTTTTGGGAGCGCCGAAGGCCGTCACCCATTGGTCTGTTGAAGCTAGGAGCACCGAAGGCCGTTGCCCGTTGATCCATTGATTTTTGGGAGCGCCGAAGAGTGAGAGGAGAGAGAGAGAGAGAGAGAGAGAATGAGTTTGGGAAAGTGAGAGTCGAGAGAGAGAGCTCAGAGAGAGGGAAAGAATGAGTCTGAGAGAGTGAGAGTGAGAGTCGAGAGAGAGAGAGAAAGAAAAGAAAAGGGACTGAAAAAGTGAAAAGTCTGGCTGTTCACCAGTCTGCCAAACTGGCGAACACTCTAGAGTCTACTACCGAATTGAAAAGTCTCAGTTCAACATTTATTAGATTTTCAAAAAATAATATATAATATTATATACATATATATTATTGTTTATATATATTGGTTGGTTCAGTTAACTGCTAGTTTTTTTAAATGGTTAATTGAAACCGAACCAAAACTGTCAGTTTTTTGAAAACATCGAATCGAAACTGAACCAACTGGTTCAATTAACCGATTTTTTTGTTTAGTTTCGGTTTTTTTATTCACCCCTAACCCTAAGCCTAGCATGACTTGGACCATCATACTGGGCCTGGCACGACCTGCATGCCATCGTGCCATGCCGCGTGGCATGRCCGATTTACACCTCTATTTTCGGTTGGGTTTCAGGCATCTTTTAGGTCAAAAGTGAAATCTATTCGAAAACATTGAATAAGAGGTGGGTGTCTACTTTCGTCATTTCGAAAATGTTAATTGATTGTGCGAAGGGTATTTTCATCAAATGACCCCTTCCTAGCCGAATTAACGGGAAAAGGGATTTTTGTCTCACGGCGATAGTACAGGGGTTCTCTGTCGCTAAACAGTTCCATTTCGTATTGCCTACGGTTCTACTCGTAATACTGAACCGATCAAGATACATCGGCTCCTTATTTCACACGCTCTCGCTCGGAGACTTATCCGTTTTGACCGATAAAAAGTGTGAGACACTGCCAATCAAGTACTAGAGAGAGAGTCAGAGAGAGAGAGAGGGAGGGTTTTTTTTTTTCCTAACAAAGAAAAGAATTAAAGAAATGCTCGCCCATTTATCGATGCCTCTTCCTTCCACTCGTCTCTCCTTTCCCACTGTGTTGCGACCTATCTTGTTTTACTTCCCGAAATCGTCCTCTCGTCTTCTTCCTCCGACCACCTTTTGCCGGCAATTCACGATTTTTCGGGTCACTGGCCGAAAATCACTCTTCTCCTCGGCTGGCCGCCTGAGATCCACCGTCGCGTGCGAGGTTGGAGGACGGCTTTTCTCAGGTGCTGCTTCAATGGATTCTTCTGCAAGAGAAGGGACTTTGTCTCTGGAGTCAATGACAGATAATCTTAAGAACCAGAGATTAGGGAACGATGAGAGGGTTGGTTTGAGGCTTGAAGACCTGAATTGGGACCATTCATTTGTACGAGAGTTGCCTGGAGATCCGAGGACTGATACAATTCCACGAGAGGTGAAGTTTTCTCTTTAAATTTCATTTCGTTTTCTTTTTGGCTTCTTGTTTGTTTGATTCCGGAAGAAACAATTCGACGGGTGAATTACATATAATTCATTCCAATGTGAGGTTGATATTAATTGCGGTGGTGAATTGGTGATTCAAGTGTTTCTTAGTGAGCTAACCATATTTGTGCTTGTAACTTGAGAACATTTTTTTTTTTCTGTATGAACTTTAGGATTTTGGGTCTTCTAAATGTTAGGCGTTCAACTATATTTGACATACAAATATTTCAGGCAACATGTGTATGGTATTGAGACCATTCTGATATTAAGATGCCAGCTATCTAAGTGTGTAAGCTCTTTGAAGTTCTCAGCACTGACTTGTATTTAAAACCCACCTGTTGGTTGAGTGATGATTTTCTGGGAACATAAGCACTGAACATTCCACTAGAACCTTACCATGTCTATTATTTATGGTCTCCATAACCGGGATATCTTTATGATATTAAAGTCTTATTGTTTTTGGGCTAATGACCAATAAATATGTTTTCTTTTGGGCCATGCAATGAGAGTGATTTCATCTGATCCTCACCACTATTGGATGCAGACCGAAAAAATTAAGATTCATCAAAGTGCAAAGAAGTTGCTGGTAAATCTGCTGAAAATATTGAATGCCATGAGTTGTGGATCATATGCCATCTGTCCTAACATATAACACTTTTTCACAAATATTTGGGGCAATAATTGCTGTGTTGCTTAACTTGATCAAATCGCTTTGCTAATGGCCAGGGGGTCTATTTTCAATTTTAGTTTTCATTGGGCTGTTCCAGAAGTGGTAACTATGGTTGGCAAGTCCCTTTGCTATGTTAGACAGTGTATGCCCTTAGCTCCAATTAGATTGATGTACTTATTGTCATTTCTTGTAAATGAATAAAGTGCATAATTGATTCATGTGATTTGGTATGTTTCTATGTAATACCCTTAAACTAGACACTTATGAGACTCGTGTTAGTTTAGAATCTTCACGGCCGTTGGATAGGTATGAGGAGATTTATCCTGCCAAGACTGATACTGATGTGCTGCCAAGTTGGTTGGGGTGACTTGTCACAGCTGCCAGGGTGAGACCTAAGGTACATGCAGTGTGGGTTTTCTTGAAACCTTGAACCAGACTAAATTCCAGTATTGCCCTGGACCTTGGAGATAGATGGACAAAACTAGAATGTTACACTTGACCCCTAGAATCGATTATGGTACTGCACTAGGTGTTGGATTGGGCTGTCTTTGATATGCCAATCAGTGAGATCCTTAGAGGGGGTCAAAAACCCAAGTATGTTGGGACAGTCCGAGAATTCACCCGAGTAAGTGATCATAGTGATAGGATCATCCCCTTTGTCAGACAAAGTGAATGATCGGGGAATGCACTCTCTCTGATGGAAACCTAAACTGCCGGTAGTGGATTTCAAATGTGTTTGAAATTTGTTTTTTGCAAAATATATTTATATAGAGATATACATACATATATTATATATATATATATATATATATATATATATATA